TGCAGCATCCAAGCCAAGTATCGTCAATGCACGGTCAAAGTACAGTAACCAACGTAAAAAAAAGTCACTTGCGTATGGCCCATTTGCTGAAAGCTCGGTGGGGTTTGAAACCATGCAAGTAAGTGCAAGGCTGTCACCATCTGAAGTAAGAGAGGTCGACTAATAACCTTGAATTTATTCACATGTGAGCCGGCTACCTCTGTCGGTTAACTGTGCCTTTCGATGGATCCAAGATTCTAACCCACGCTAGCAAGGCGAAGGTTCGCGTACAACAAACACTCTAGTCAGCTGAGCTGCGAGGCCTCTAGCGGGAACCGTGAGTTTAATCATCCTTGGGCCAAATTACCCACCCAGCTTACTGCAACGTATGACATCCACCAATTCTGATACCCCAAGCAGGATTTCCTCAGCAGTTAATATAGCATGTAAAAGATAACCAGCAGACGCAATTAATTAGTAGACGGCTTTTGGCAAATAATTCATTTGACCTACTTGCGAAATACTCGACGACCTCAGTGGGATTCGAACCCACAACAGCAACGGGAAGACTTTATTACAATAAACACTAGCTTTACTAAGCGCACAGCTCCCGGTGGGGCTCTCGTAGTTCAGTTGGCTGGAGCGTTGGCTGTCCTAAAGCCTTTCCCTTGCTGAGGTGGGCTCGAATCCCACCGAGGCTGCCTAATTTTTTAGAATTGAATAAAATTAACTATCCAAACCTTTCAAAATCATAATCCGTTCACAGGGGTATTCAGGTATTTGAATTAAGTTAAAGTGGGGCATGTATCTTTCAACTTTTCAAATCTGCACCTTAGAACACTGGAGCATACAGAAATGTGAGCCACACCGTCAACCGCGTGGAACAAGTTGAAGGTCCAAGACGTGCTAGTGCGAAAAGGGATCGATTTCATTGATGCTGTGGATTCTCTTTTTCGACTTAGTGGATACTATCAGCTGCTAAATTTGACTTTTAGTCCGTGGATCAATATCTTTAAAACGCACTTTGAGGCTCTAGTGTGCATAAAAATGCCGTCTAGGACCCAATAGCTAACACGTCTGAGGGGTGTGTATGTGTTCGTGTGTCTATTCGGTGACTTTGCTGAGGCGGGCTTGCCGCGGCAGTATCTCTTCTCTTTCATTCTGTGCTTGGTTAATTTTTGTGAATCCATTTGTTGCACGCATTTGATTTACCAATTTAGCTTTCTATACTGAAACAATCGGAATGGACACATTATGATTATTTGGAAAAAAAGAGTATATTTTCGTCCAAAACATAAATTAGGCAGAATCGGGGGTGATAAGTTATTTGGTCCAGTCAACCAATTAACTTACGTCTCCACTCGTAGCAGCTGATGTTAGCGGAATCATCCCAGCCCTTCCAGAACCGGAAGACAATGATACTATCACAGTGTGTTAAGGCTACTAAGGTTTCACCCTAACAACTACGATATTCCTGGCCCGGTTCCTTAGGAGATGAGAGAAGTCTTGGAAAGGCAGATTGTTAGGAACAGTTTATTCTGCAGAAGGATGAAGAATAGTTAGGAGGAAGGTTGATTTTGTCTGGCGTTGCGTTCGCCGTGAGGGCGCGGCAGCGCCTACGCGTCCGCCCTGTTCAGGGGCAGAATGTCGAGTGAGTCTAGCATCAATCATCCCGAGTGGCCACCGAATCCTCTCTCTGTCTCGCGGCCTTGATGGTGACTGGTTAGACCGGACGAAGTTAGCCACCGGCGTGGGTGGTCCGTGTCTCGTGCGTCAGTTTGTGTCTGGTCGGAGGCGAACCGAAAAGCACATTCGCGCAAGGTCCTGCTCAAAGTGACCTTGTCTGTCACGTCAAGAACACTACAAACTACACTACAAATCTATTTTCTAAGTG